TTCACATGCATACCATAGAATAAGAACTCTGTAGTTTACTACATATGGTTGTCCCAGTGAGATGGTGATGGAAAGATGCTGCAGACACAGCTAAAGACTGTAAAGTTTCTTTTATGGCAAAGGATAGAGATACTTACAGGCATAGTTTGCTATATAAAGCAGGATACAGCACAGCATGTCCCACAGGGATTATACCAACAGAATGGATCCAAGGAAGTGTGTCAAACCATCCTGGTTTGCCTGGAACTGAGGAGTTTTCTAGAATGTGGGACTTTCAGTGTTAAAACTAGGAAAGATCCAGGGAAAGTGAGGCAGTTGGTCAACCTAACTGAAGAGTATACTTTGCTATACTTACATCCTTTCCTGACCTAATTGTCCACCTGATCGTTGTGGAGACTTTGGCTACACACCTGCCTATTCATCAGGGACAAGTGAAAACAGCCCAACAATTCCTGTTTATTGTGAGACTGTATAAAGTGAAGCTTAGTTTCCAAGGAGCCTTGTTCAGTAGGCCTGGGCTTTGAGCAGTTGGGGTCCACTCCTGAATTATATCATGGCTTAAGAATAATTATATGCAAAAACTACAAATACTATACAGAGAGATTCAGATATTAACTTTTGATTTTGCATATGGAGGAACTGTTGCATCCCTTGGCCAGGAATAAATAAGGGCCATGCCTCTGCCTGGATTCTCTTCTTCGGGACCCATTCTGTTCTTGCTCAATGGTCATCCACTCTGAGATGGTCACTTATTTAGAGATTGTTTTATATCAGTTGTACAGTCTGAAGCCTTCAAACTGACATGGCTCCAAGTTTAAATTTTAAAGAGAAAGGCAACATATCCAAAGATTGTGTCTTTTCTTTAACATATTCTACTAAATTTAGGCTGTGCATTTTTACCGAAGTGGTATTTATCTGAATAGCTTTCTATTCTGTCTCTAGCTCATCTGTATCTTGTGTTTTTTATTTGTTTTGTTTTGCTCATCTTGTTTTTCATGTGCTTTGAGCTGTGGCAGGGAAAAACAGAAGAAAGAAGAATGACAGCATTGGGGCAGGTAGAGACAGCAATACGTTATGAAAATATATGAGGAAACCTTGGGGAGAAATTAGAGAATTCTAAGCCAGGGAAATGGGAGAGAGTGGGTGAACTATTGTCCAAGTTGAAGTGTTTCTTCCTAGGTGGATTTCCAACTGTAAGAAACATATAATTCAAGGAATGCCTGATTAGCAATTCCTTATCACCTGTATTAGTTTGCTAGTGTTGCCACATCAAATATCACAGACAGGGTGGCTTAAACAACAGAAACTTAATTTCTCACAGTTCTGGACACTAGAAGTCTGAGACAAGGTGTCAGCAGGGTTGGTTTCTTCTGGGGCCTCTCTCCTTGGTTTGTAGATGACCATCCTCTCCCTGTGTCTTCTCACATAATCTTCCCTGTGTACATATCTGTGTCCAAATTTCTTCTTATAAGGATACTCGTACTAGTCCTATCAGATTAGGGCCCACCCTACTGACCTCATTTTAATTTAATTACCTCTTTACAGACCCGATCTTTAAATACAGTCACGTTCTGAAGTACTGGGGGTTAGACCTTCAACATATGAATTTGGTGGGGGAGGGAACACAACTTAACCCATAACATTACCTAAGCTATCTTTCACCAGTAAAGGCAAAATTGTGTTTTAGTCTGCCATTTTTATTACTACTGGATATTAAGTCAGGCCTTTGTTCAATTTACTCATTAAGCAAAGATTTGAAAAATCAGAAGAGTTAAAGTATATTGCTGCTTCGTTAAGTATATAATTAGCACTAATTGTTTTTTAAAAGTTTCCTCTCTGAAACTGGAAAGTTAATTTTCTTCCCAAAGGCTATGTGAATACACCATTTCTTCAATGATAGATGGCAAATATAATCTGTGTACATCAGTATTCTTGTACTCCTTGTTTTATTATATAAAGAAAGCTTCCTTAGCCAATTTCTTATCTACCTCAAGAGTAGACAAGAGCAACGGCTATAGAGAACTTATTACCTGAGATACTCAGGCCTTATACATACACAAGATCCTCACCACAACCTAGTGAGATAGGTACTACTATGACACCTATTTCACAAATGAAGAAACATGGGCACTGAGATTTGAGCCCAGACAGGCTCCAGAATGTGAGTTCTTAACCACTTATACTACTCTGCTTTCTAAAGTAACAGATGAGAATTTGACTGGGCTCATTGATACATTAAGAATAGCAATTAAGGGCCGGCCCGGTGGTGTACTGCTACAGTGCACCGCTTGGGAAGTGCAGCGGCGCTCCCGCCGAGGGTTCGGATCCCACATACAGACCGGCCGCTCACTGGCTGAGCGAGGTGCGGGTGCAACACCGAGGGCTGCGATCCCGTAGCCGGTCCCGTACGGGGGCAACACTGAGGGTTGTGATCCGTTGCCGGACACGGAAAAAGACAAAAGACAAAAAAAAATAAATAAATAAAGAATAGCAATTAAGTGATATAGGCAGCTAACAGAATCAAATATTTAGAAAAGCTCTTTAGCTCTGCTGTAATTTTTCTCTTTTGATCTCTAAGCCAGTTGAATAATGTTTTATGACTCATAAGCATGAATTCAAGTGTAACATGTCTCTCACATAATACATTTAAGTTTGCCTAAATGATACAAATGAGGAAATGAAATATTAACTTCAAAAATTGTGTGACAATGAAACATGTCAAAACTATGTTCCATTTTAAGCAAATTACTATTCTTTAGCAAAAAATTACTAAAATGGAACATGTGTTTTACCAAACATGCTTATGACATGTTAATTATATAAGAACCAGAAATTAACCTGAGCTAATATGGCTGAAAATGACATGTGCATAATCCAAGGACTTTAGGAAAAGACTAGAACAGGGACTAGAAAGCATCAAGACTCTGTTTCTCTTTGATTTCTAGTTCATCTGTCTCTCTCTGTGGACAGACTTTCTCTGCATCCTCAGTTCATATGGAAGAATCTGGCCACCCGCAACTCTTAAGTTTACAAATGAAGGGTGGCAGAATATACCAACCTGTATTAGTCTGTTTCTGTTGCTTATGACAGAGTACCTGAAACTGAGGAATTTACAAAGAAATAGAATTTATTTCTTATAGTTTCAGAGGCTGGGAAGTCCAATGTCCAGGGAACACATCTAGTGAGGGCCTTGTTTTTCATGGTGACTCTCCAGAGACACAGGGTATCACATGGCAAGAATGGGCTGAGCAAAAGAGAGCAAACCTGCTCACTGGCTGTCTTTATAAAGCCATCATATGTACGCCCATGACCACCTATTGAACCATCAATGGATTAATCCATTCACAAGGGTACAGTCCTCACAATCTAATCACCTATTAAAGGCCCCACCTTTCAATTTCCATAATAGGGTTTCCCACCCTCTTAACACTGTTACAATGGAGATTAAGTTCCAGTATGTGAACTTTGGGGGGTACATTTAACCCATAGCACACCTCAAAGAATGCCACTTTGGCATAAGGATTACTTTAAGCTAAAAGCACTTAAAAAACATCAGATACAACAAGGGAATTCTAATCTCCCCTTTTCTTCCTGAAAATAGGAGATAAAAACTCATGTGAAAGATGCCCTTCCTATGCCAGGAGAAAGGAAACATTCCTCAAGGGGGAGTCTTAGCCAAGAGAATTCTGTACAAACAGGCCTTGTTAAAATAATTCTTATCTTCCTTTTAGTTTCCCTATGTAATTTAGTTACTTTCCCACAATTGCCTCCTTTTGTTCAATCTAATATGAAAATATATAGATTTTGCCACTTTGGGGGGGGGGTTCTTTGTTTTCTTATGAGGGCTCCCATGTCAAATAAAACTTATATTAATTTTATGCTTTTCTCCCATTAATCTACCTTATGTCAATTGAATTCTCAAGTGTAGCCAAAGAGGGTAGAGGTAAAGTTTTGCCTTCCCTACTCATTCACAACTCCAGCCCCACTCGGAGATCAGCTGGCTGTTCCTCAGTTTTAATCCCCAAGTCCCAGTGGAGAGAATCTGAATGACCTCGCTTAGGTTAAGTGTCCTCCCCTGGTCCAATCATTTATGGCTATGGAAACTGGACCGTGCAGTATAAATTTGGTTACCTCTGTGCTTGGAGCAGGGGAGGAAATCACTGACTGTGAGCTGGGCTGACGCTTCAAGAGGAGTGCACTCAGAAACTCTTGCAGTGCTTGATCATTTCTATCACAGGATATTTTCTATCTCATAGTGAGGTATATAGGTCAAGAATGTAATGTTCCTGATCTATCAAATTGGCAAAAATCCAGATGGCAATAACACTGATGGTGAAGCTGAGGAGAAATAGCCACTTACACATTAGTTGTGGGAGTTCAAAAGAGTACAAGCCCCATGTCAAACCTACAAAAAATACAGATGCATTTACCTTTTGAACTAGCAATCCCACTACTGGAAATGGCCCAAGAGCATAAATGTTTTCAGTTCCTACACTTTCCAAAAAAGAAATATCATAGCTATAGGCAAAGGATATCTTATTGCAATAACAGAAGATGAAAAAACCACCCACAATCCCTATCTCTTACACTCCAACATTGAACGTAACCAGTCATGGAACACACTTGCTCTTATATGCCATATACCAATAGGAAAACTGCATTCAATTTTTAGAACTTTTAATTTACAGGCAACATTTTAGGATTGCTGCTATTTCATACTGGGCAGAAAAGTCTGACCTATATAATGCTTATGTGAACTAGGGAAATTGCTCCAAAAATATCTAGTTCCTGTGGTGTATGATGTTGGAGATGCCATTGGTCACCTCTCTGCCACACAACCTGCAGAGCAGCACTAACATGAAAATGCTTTATTTAAGTGATAAGTAATTATATAGAAACATTTTGCAGCAAATATATTTCATGAATTTGGCTGAATCCTTGGGAAAATCCCAGTAAAGAACATGGTTTTAATTTAATCATTTATCCTCTTTTTTCTGCAGTACATCTCTTCACATATTGCAGACTTTAAAAGTGATATGTTTGAGGAACTCCTTAAGCACCTTTGCCACTGTGCAGATGAATTCCGGGAGTTCATAAAAACTGACATGCAGAGGCAGATGTTTGCTGCACTCTTCCTTCATTGTGACTGTGGGAAGGTAGGTTAAGACCTTTAAAGAATTGCTTCTCAAACTATTTGTTGTGAAACCGGGTTTTAGGTTGTTGTTCTTATGATGTTTTAAATTTCCAATCTGTTGTGGACTGATACTCAATGAAATGTTTTACTAGGAGGAGGAAGGACATATAAAATACAGTCTACGCCTTTATCAGATTAAAATATGATTTATTCTCATTTACTTTCACAAATTTCTATAAACTTTTCTAGTTGCTATTTTCAATTTTTGTACCTTTCTCATTACAGACTGGCACCAGCCTGCAGACCACACTTTGAGTGGCACTGCATTTCAGAATTTATAACTTGTTTCTAAATCTATCTCTTTCCCATTCTTAAGTCAATGGGCTGCTTAAAATTGTTTTTGCTTACTCTTTTTTGGTGGTTCCTGCAAAAAAGAGCTGCTAGAAATAGACTACTACTTTTATTATGGTGATTCTTAAAAATAAGAAGACTTTATATCAAAAAATGTTTCTGAGAATGGGGTTTGGGAGGACACTAGTGTTCCAGGATACCAAATGGACTTGCAAAAATGGGTACAAACTTTACTGAAATATATTTTTTTATGAACCTTATATTTGTTTGTTTGCATCCCCATGTTCCAGAAAGAATTTAAAAAGCTCACAAGAATAGATAAAATAAAACAAAGTAATGTAAACTAAAAGTAAGATGAAAGAAGAAAAAATAAGAGAGGAAATACTATATGAAGCTGAGAACAAAGCCCAAAATGCATACATATCACAATGACCTATATAAGTGCTGTACATTGTCTACAACTTTGAATCTAAGCTTCCTAGCAGTTAACATGAAAAGGGAAACACGACCAAACACACTATCGCCAATATTTATAAGATAAATACATGTTGGTGCTAAGAAGTACAGAAATTTGGGGTTCAAAATATAGCCAGGAGTTTCTCCTAGAGTTACTCAATAAAGGGGCCATATGTGATGAAATGAACATCCTTTATGCTGGACCGGTAATAAATGAAACAATGACTTTTTTTTAGGGCAATTTCTTATAACCACCTTAAGTATAGGCAAATGATACCACACTGGACTGCAATTCAGAAAATGTACTTCTGAAGGGAAACAATACATTACAATCTAGATTCTCAGATCCCTGCTAATTTAAAGGCAAGAATATATTTTATGGAATCTGAAATGTCTATGTGTCTTTAAGGCAACCCTCCTTGAATATTGCTTCCTTTAACAGACCTTGTAATAAATGTTAGGTGACATGGACAACAAGATTTTACTCCCTGGTGAAATTCCTGGAGGACAACTGTTCTCTGTTGGCAAATTTAATACCAACTAATGTGCTATAACAAACATAGTGTGATAATATTTAGAGGAATTAACTGAGGTTTGATTGTGCTCTTTGCTTTATTTCTCATCAGTCAAAAAGCAGTTATGTACTGATCTTAGAGGTGTAGGGGTAGGAAAATTCCACTTCCATCCTCTTAGGGTCCTGGCTGGGTCCGATAATTAAATTGACATAAGATAGATTAACAGGCAATAAGGATACAAATTTACTTACAAGTTTTACTTGGCGTGGAGCCCATATAAGAAAATGAAGGTCCAAAAAAGCAGAGAGTCAGTTACTTATACACTGTATTGGACAAAGAATAGTCAACTGTAAAAACATGACTAAATTATGAGAGGAGGCTTAAAAGATAGATAAGAGTTATTCTAACAAGATCTGCACAGTATTCACTTGGTCTCAAATTCTCATTCTTGAAAATAAGGATGTCCCCTTATTTTCTAGTATACAGAAAGTGCTTTCACGTGGAAATTTTATCTTCTGTTTTTGAGAAACAGCACAAAGGTCAAAGTGATATTCTTGCACGTGTTATTTTTCAAGTGTCTTTAACTTAAATAGTAAATATGCGAGAATAGTATATTTTAACTCCTTCATTTTCCCCATTCTGGAACTTCCCTTGAAGTTTTACATACTAAAAACTGAATTGGTGGCTGTGGAGAGGAGAATCAGGCTAGTAACTGAGTGACAAGAGATCTGTAAAAGGAGAGAAGAACGTAAATTGGACCAAGATGAAAATAACAAATCTAAGTATATTGTCTCATTGAATTAGTCTTTTAGTCATGAGACTAGTTCAGGCCAATCAAGCAATTGTGTATCTAAAATTTTAGGAGGTGATGTGTTAGGTGGACTCCCATTTAAGTTAGGCCTTTATGTGGTGTGAGAAAACAGGTATTTAATTAGAGGCATTTCTATGGAAACAAAAGAAAAACAAAGGTTAATGTTTGGAGCAAATTATAAATCAAGTTTTTGAGTCCAGAGAACAGTGACTTGAGAAGATTTTTAGATGTTAGCTTCAAAGCATCTTCAATTTGAATATCTCCAGTGATGTCTGAGTGGCCCAAATGGCAACAGGCATAAAGGCTGTCTGTATATGGCCTGTTGTGATGATTTCTCTGAAGTTATATCAGGTTGTCCAGCTTCAGCTTGGTAGGGCATTAGGAAAAGGGCAGTTTTAATTTTTAGTGATTTCAAGCCAGAAAAGTGGAAGAATAATTAGAAAAGATAGTTATTGACAAAATGCACAAAATGGTAGGAGGCAGTTCACAAAGAGAAAAAATCACAAAGTCAGTGAACATGGATGGCAATTTTTCAGATTCCTTAGGGTATATTATATTTTTTACTGAAACATAAAATCTTTTTTCCCACAACCACTTCCATTTTTTTTTTTTTTTTTAAGATGACCGGTAAGGGGATCTTAACCCTTGGCTTGGTGTTGTCAGCACCACGCTGAGCCAGTGAGCAAACCGGCCATCCCTATATAGGGATCCGAACCCGTGGCCTTGGTGTTATCAGCACCGCACTCTCCTGAGTGAGCCACAGGCCGGCCCTCCACTTCCATTTTTTATCAAAGATAATAAAGATAAAATGAATTTCTTTGAAAAATAAGTTTGGTTTTATTAAACTTGGCCTGATTATCTATATAAGTGCAGCAAGAATAGTGATTGAGGAGGTTTCCGGTCAAGATGGTGAAATAGATGGTCCCCAGCATCACTCTCCCTCACAACTGATCAATTTACAGCTATTAAAAAGCAAAGACTTCCCGGGCTGGCCCGGTGGCGCACTGCTACAGTGTGCCACTTAGGAGCGTGGCGGCGCTCCCGCCGAGGGTTCAGATCCCACATACAGACCGGTTCCTGCTCACTGGCTGAGCGAGGTGCAGGCACAACACCGAGGGTTGCGATCCCGTTGCCGGTCCCGGTCCGGTACGGGCGCGACACTGAGGGTTGCAATCCGTTGCCAGACACAAAAAAAGAGAAAAAAAAAAAAAAAAAAAGCAAAGACTTCCAACCTGGGACTGCTGGAGCTCAGGAGAAGAGGAGAGACCCACAGAGTTCGTGAAGCTGTGGCAAGAGGGAGAAGGGACCACTCCAACTGTTTTGAGCCCTGGCTGCTTCAGAGTCTGCCCGGTGAGGGATAGGAAGAAGTTACAGCACATGGAGGAGGAGCTGGCAAAAGCCACAGCTAAGCCATTTACGTGAAGTTGCTTGGAATCTACAGGGGAGAAGAGGACCTCAGAGTGTACCATATCAGCCCCAAGTTAATGAGACCACTGACAGGGTTCCCATGGACCCAAAAAGAAGTAAGGGGCTGCAGCTGACTGAACAAAGGAACCGCCCAGAGGCTGGTGAGTCATCATGAGGGACCTGCAGATGGCCCACCCCATGGGAAGTGTTTGAAGTGTGGAGAGGGAGCCTGGCCAGCTGGAGGGTAACATCCAGGTACAGCATGGGCAGCCTTCACATCAGCACAAGCCCACTCAGTGGAGACTGGTCAAGGCCATAGTACTACAGAGGACACACTTTGCTGAAAAGAATCAGTCCTGGGTCAGAATTCCCACAATACCCAGGTGTATCTGACCTTATAAGACCTGGAAATGATTAAAAAGCCAACAATTAAAATCTGATCCACACAAAAACTCTCACAAGAGAATACATAGCAAAGTACCAATTTTGCTTGACCACAGAGCTCAAGTGCTAGACTCCACAGGAAGTTCCCCCAATTTTGGAATTAACCAAAGGATGACAAGTTAGTTCTACTGCAGAGTTTAAGTGGGGGTGGTAACAAAAAATTCAACATGGAACTGAAAAAAAAATAATACCACAGACCAGAGACAAAGCTCTGATACTAAACAGTAAAAGTCTAACACCCCCAAAGAACAGCTGTAAAAACAAGAAGAAGTGCAGTCTCAAATGCGCAGGCATCAATATAAAGACACAAAGATTGAGAAAGTATGGAGAACTATGGCACCATCAAAGCAAACAAAGCACCAGCAATGGATCCAGAGGAGCAGTGGATTTATGAAATGTCTGACAGAGAATTCAGGATAATCCTCTTAAGTACATTCAAGAAAATATAGATAGAAAGTTAAATTACATCTGGAAAACAGTCCAGGAGCAGAATGAGAAACTTGACAGAAAAATTAGGTCAATTTTAAGAAGCCAAATAGAAATTCTAGAAACAAAGAATACATTATATGAACTGAAAAACTCAATAGAAAGCTCTAACAGCAGACTTAATCAAACTGAGAAAAGACTAAGTGAGCTCAATGATAAAACATATGAAATTTTCAAATCAGAGAAGCAAGATGGATAAGAAGAAATGAAACAGAAATGCAGAAAATATAGGACTCCCTCAAGTGAAATAACCTCCACATAATTCTCAAACCTGAAGGAGAGGGAAAAGGAAAAGATGTAGAAAGCATACTCAAGGAACTAATGGCTGAAAATTTTCCAAGTATTGAGAAAGATGACAGCATCCAGGTACAGGAAGCACAGAAGTGGCCAATCAAATTCAATCCAAGGAGGAACATTCCAAGGCACTTCATAATCAAGTTATCAAACAGAAGACAAAGAAAAAATACTGAAAGCAGAAAGACAAAAGAAACACATAACATTCAATGGAGCCCCGATACATCTCTTAGCAGATTTCTCAATAGAAATGCTACT